AAGAAGAGAAAAGAAACTAGTAATTTGATTACTAGACACGAGTATATGCGTGAGTATGTGTTTTTATGTATATATGTGTGTGTTGAACGAGATAGCACCTTCGAATCACACAAAAATGCGCTTTCTCGGCGTGAATTTGCAATCTCTTATGCACTCTTCTATGTTTTTTTTTTTTAATGTATATACATACATAAATACATTAATATATAAATATAAATATATTATATATATATATGTACATATATACACTTAGTTTCCTTTCTTTCTCTTTTTTTATTCTCCTTTTTTTTTCTTTTCATTTATTTAGATTTGTGAACGAGACAGCAGAGATAAATTTCATACGTTTTTATCCAAATTTTGTTAACTAACACGTGTTGCTTTTCTTCACGCGAATTACTAAAATGATTAATCACATTTGCAAGAAAAAAAAAAATAAAATAAAATTAATACGTCGTGTTATTTTGCGTAAACTTTTTTCGATTAAATAAATCAAAAAATGACATCTTATAATATTCGTAAAACATATAAGAAAAACATAAGATTGTCATTACGTTTAATAATAAAGGAAAATTAACAATTTAATTGGTGTAATATTTTATTGTATATTATGTTCTTTTCTTCGATTAAATTAATAATAGAATAAAATAAATTAAAATTAAAAACGAATTAATATCGAAACATTTAAGAAATATAAATTCAATTTGAAAATATAAATATAATCTCCTACAATAAATAATTCACTTAAATATTAAACGATCTTGAATAATGTCAAAATCGAATGATTTTTCGAATAAAAAATTTCCAAAAAAAAAAGAAAAAAAATTACCAACAAAGAATTGTCACCGTTAAAAACGAAAAAATGGTTTTTTCATCCTCGATGACGATTTTTTTTGTTAATCAAAAACAAAAATTATAATATATATATCGTGATCGAATAATCAGATTGAAGTACAAATCAATCCTTAAGTGTCAACAAATAAAGAAAAAAATAATAAAATAATAATATAATAACATATTCCATTTTTAAAATAAAAATTCCATTTAATCACATATCCGTAATTCCTAATAAACCTACAGAATAAAATTACCCATAATTTCAAAGTCCAATGATTTCCAATAAAAAGCTCGAACGTAAAAAGCAACGAAGAAAGAAAGAAAAAAAAAGGAACAAATGTAAAGAACGAAAGAACGAACGAACGAACGAAGGTTTTCCGCCCTCGATGACGAATCGAAGGTAAGGATCTTAAGGTAAAAAAAAAGGTATACGTATCAGAAAGAGAAAGGGATAAAAATATAGACGGGGAGAGAAAAAGAAACAGAGAAAGAGAGAAAGAGAGAGAGTGAGAGAGGAGAAAGGCAAAGTCTAGAGGATATGTGCACGCAACGATGCGTCAATGCACATGCCTTCGTAGCCGAGCAACGTTAGCTACGGGGGTTGGCAGACAATGAGTAACGGGTCTCCGTATAGCCGTCAAGGGTCGAAGAAGGGAGAGGGCAGGGAGAGGGAAGGCCGAGGGAAGTCCCGCATCTCCAATCGATTACAATAGCACCTAACCTAGGGTAGGTAGCGGGAGAAGAGACCCGTGTGAAAGGCCCCTTTCCTTTCTCTCTCTCTCTCTCTCTCTCACAAACACACACACACACACACATACACACACATTTATATATACATATATACATGTATAGATACACCCTTTCGGTGTTGCATGTACTTACGTACATATTAGTACACACGCAACATAACCAAACACTAACACATACACACAAAACATACACACATACATATATATATATAGATGGTTTCATTCCTTTTCCCCCTTTCGCCCCATTTTACTCCTTTTCTCTTACGCGATATTCCCTTAGCACAACATGCTTGGGGTTGTGTCTCGGCTTTACTCGGCCTTCGTCGATCGTATTCGCCAAAGGATCTTCCACCTGCATGCGTGTGTCCAATTTCTTTCTATATATATATATAGATATATGTGTATATATATGTGTGTGTGTGTGTTAGTTCTACACCCTCTCACCCACCTCGTATATCCCTTCGAAAGAGAACACTAAACACTCGGAGTAATTTGATAATTCCATCGTTTCCTTTGGAAATCGCTAATGAAACTCATTACGGTCAATACGGTCCTACGGTAAAGGTACGAGAACAAACTCCAAGAGATTCGAGTTTAAGAGAGAGAACTGGTTTTCCACCTTGTATCTTCACTAACACTAACACTATTACGATTACTACTACTGCTACTACTTCTACTACTGTTGCTGCTGCTGCTGTTGCTGTTGCTATTGATAGTGGTGATTGTGATGGTAGTGGAGGTACTACTATATACTGTATAGTATTACCACTACTATTATTACGACTACTACTACTACTACTACTACTACTACTACTACTACTACTACTACTACTATTACTGTTACTGTTGCTGTTTGCTGCTGATGCTGATACTACTGCTGTTGATGATGGTGCTATTACAGTACTATGTATTTGCAGGTTGAAGGAAAGTACGAAGAAATATTTTTTCCAGAGATTCTTTAACGCTATGTTTTATATTATGTCTTAGTTAAGTCTATTGTCTTTATGAACGAGTAAGTTGAAATGACCCTTAGAAGGATGAAAGTTATATGGTAAGAATCTTTTCCAGATCATTCGAAACTAATCATACAAAACTGATCATATATTGCAGATTGGATTTTTATACATAATATAATCAATTTGATTATATAGATGAAGAAGATAATATTAGAAAAAATCTGATCGTATAAGAAAAAAATTCTAACGTAAGAATAATTGATCGTGATATTTGTTTTATGAACAATAAAAAATGAGCAGAAGAAAAATCCTGGAAGATATGGAACTATCCCATTTGGATACTATTCGATGAACAACTGTACCAAATTAATCTGATTATTTAAATCAATTTATGATTTCATTATAAAGTAAAGTAAAAAAGAAGTAATTATCAAAATAATAATATTCCTCTAAAAATTTGAGTAAGAGCCAAGAAAAAGTAAAAGATAATAAGAGGGACATGTAGAGAAATTAGTACACGTAGTATAAAAATTTACAAGGTGAATATTTTCGTAGCCGATAAAGAAAGGAAAGAAAGAAGCACAAAGTCGGTTGGTGGGACTACTATTTTTCTTTCTCTTGCGTTTCGGCGTATTCGGAGGTCAGCGGGTCTAGATAGAGACGGTTGAAATTCAGGTTTTCGAGCTGGTTAGGCTTGGTAAAGAAGAAGAAGAAGACGACGATAAAGATGAAGACGAAGACGAAGAAGAGGTGAAGAGAACGGGGGGGTTTGTGCTTTGGCCCTTCGATCCCAGTGCTCCTGGCCTCCTCCTGAATACCCCGCCTATACATTCTGGTACAGACACTTCCAAAATTCCTCCCACCGTCCGAACTCTCCAGAACTGCACAGGCCACCAACCAACCAGCCA